CCCAGTTTGCGAGAGTTTTGCGCTTTTAAATGAGTACCCTTAGTGTATAAATTGATGCAAATATACTTGCTGTAAGTGCGGATTAAATATATGAGGTTATAGTAGTTATTGACGATGTCATAAATAAAATATTTCTAGAAAAAAAAGTAGGTATTTAAATTTTTTTGCTTTGTGCATTATCTTGTACTATCCTTAAGTTCATTGTTTGCGTTTGAAGTGGGTCTGTTATCAATTTTTATATGGCAAATTTTTTCTAGTAGTTTTACTAGAGGTTCTTCCTTGTCATTGTCAAACTTTTTGATTAGTAGCGTAATCAGTCTTTCCATTTTCGTTACCTTTTCCCATCCAGGATTTAGGTATACCGGTGTTTCAGTGCTTAGCTTGTGAACTTTGGGCGTTACTGTATTTTCTTGTTTGTCATTTGTACTCATCCGTGCAATGCGGCTGTATTTTGTTGTTAGTTTTTGTGTTTATAATTTGATCGTTGTTCACGGTCTTTGTTTTGTTCATGTTTATTGGCGGGAAGGCTTCATCGTAATTTTCCAAAGTGATCGTTGTTGTTGAAATTTTCTTTGTTGTCATCACTTGCGTGATTTTCTCCTCTTTCTGCCACTTTTTGCAGGAATTGTTCTTCAAAGCGTTGTGTCCATCTTCACCGCACAAAATGCAGTTATTTCTTTCGTTGCTACAATATCTACAGAACCCTTCTTTTTTCCACAAAGGATAGATATGTTTTTGGCCTTACAATCAAGTCTGGTATGCCCCAATCTGCCACAGCTGAAGCACTGCCGAACTTTTAGAATGTAATGCCCAATCTTTAGCTAGACATAGAAAAGCTCCACCGTTTCCGGTATTTCGTTTCCTTGAAAATTTATTTTTACTGTAAAAGTTGGGATTAGTTTTTCCCTATCGTCAGGGTCGCGTCTCAAAATTCTCGTTACAGAATTCGCTTGGATGCCCGTATTAAGTTTTTGAGGAATTCGTCCTCAGAAAATTCTATAGGAACTTGCTGCATGACTCCCAACATCTGCTTAAATTCTCGTTATCAAGACTTCTATTTGCCATATCAAAAGGTACAAAGAAAATTTTGTACAGCGACTTTCCTATTGCTTTATTTCCTATTCCTTTCCTATTTATTTATTTCCTCAATCCTAAAATTTTTAATCTTGTCCCAAAGGAACAGTCCATTTTTCATTGTCGTTGTTGCTTGTGACTATTAAGGCGCAGAAATCTCCCTTGTGCATTTTCGTGTATCGCACACTGTA